CTTAGCCACTGCCTAATCACTTGATCGACGAAATGTCGGGATGACATTTTAATCAACGATTGCGCGGATCTATTTTAAGATATATTTTTGATTAAAATGCGAAATAGATGCAGGTTCAATAATTGTGAATCATCGATTAATGAGGAAGAAGCCAAAATATAGAATTTTCCATATATCTCACAGAACTATTTTATCAAAACGCGGACAGTGCTATGCGAAAAAACTCGTTTATTTTGATTTACAGAGAAAAAGAATCGTATAATTTTCCTGGCTACTGGCGTGGTAATTCAATATAGCTGCAGTGACAGATCAAAAGTTTTAAACCGATATTATTCACGGGACCGTTCGCGCGCTGTGTTGATTTTCTCGCTGTAAAGAAAACCGGGAAACCGATCTCATCCCTCGCAATCGATATTGCGCTTAAACGTTAAACTGAGTTTGAGCCAGTCATTTTCCGAAATAAACGTTTCTAAATATCGCGCAGACGATTACAGTGACAGAAAAACTACAATATACGATTTATAAATAAATTTTACAATTTTGCCGCACTGTGCAAACTCGTTTATGGAAGTAGAAAATTATCACGATAAATGTAATACTTACAAATGTCATTTTCAATTACTAATATCGTGAATAATGTGTAATATTAGATAATACGAATATCAGATATTATCTACAATAATATGATGCATCAATATATCAAAATAATTGATATTATCAATATTATTCGTCGTAAATTTTTAAATACGTGAGCGAAATTAATAATAAAATTTTATTGAGAATAGGAAACACTAATTCTTCTATTCTGACATGTTTGGACAAAGATTTGATTGCTAAATTATATATTTCGATTTATTTATTCAATTATTACAGAATTATTAACTATTGAAATTTCGTTATTTAACAATTTTCTTCTCCTAACAGTAAACTATCTTTGATTTGATTAGGGCCGTATTACATTTATCTCTGTTGAGGATCGAATTAGAATTATCTGTTTAGTTTCGCTGCTCCAATCAAATTTAGATTCCGTGACAGCCTCTGGAATTGATTTAATCACCACACTTGCGTGATCAAGAATATTAAGTGTAAATTTAAATAATTATGTTCGCGTTATTACTTGGTTAAACGTTCGCAAATGGTTTTTTACGCAAAAATTATAGCACTTGGTTTTCTAATTTATATTTCATCGTGACTGCAATATCAAGAAGCATAGCGCAAATATTAAATAAAGTGAATATCCTCTCTTGGATTTTATTCAGCGCATAGTTAATAGTAAAAATATATCATTTGCTAATTAAAAGATAAGTCGTATATTATACCGTCCGTTAAGAAGATTATACTATCGCTGGTTAATTAGTATTCCTCGTATTACTTCTTGCAAAAGCGGACGTCACGTCCACTTTTATTTTAAACGAGCATCAGTCGATCGCAAAATTAAGATAATTGCCGATCGACATTAAATGAATGACGTGCAAAGATCGAACGGGAACGAGCGATTTAATTAAATTGTCGATAAAGCGAAAAGCGAAATCCTGCTGTCGTCGCGTTGGTCGCGTGTTCGTTGGTGACGTTGCTGGTTGATTCCATTATCGAACGTATATATCGTATTGTAAATTGCAAAATGACAAAATATGCGACACGTGAGTTAAAATTGTTCGTAGAAATCAATTCAACTGGAGCGTCTTTCTATTTTGATAATGCAGATATATAGAATGCTTCTAAATTATAGTTTTTATTCCTTAGTTTTTTTATTTAATTATAGAATTATCCAACTGTAATTATCTCTGAATGTAAATATACTTTTTATCTATGAAAAAAAGTTAAAAAAATGTTTAAATGTTGAACATAACGCTGATATATTTTTATTTAATCATAGATTCCGTGACAAATTTGAAATTAATTTTTCCACAATTTTATAAGACCTTTTTAATTACTATTTAACAATAGAACTTTGGAAAATTTTACAAACTAGAATTATTATTAGTAATTATTTTTAATGAAAATAATTAATGAAAATTTGTCAGCAAATCCCTAAGAGTATAAGCCTTTCGGTACACCCTGTATACGCTATATGTGCCGGCTACCGTGCACATCGGCGTCGCCGGTAAGGCGCATTTGCGTAATTGCATGGTGAACCGCGATAAGAACTTCGGAGCTGCAACGGGTAATGCAAAAACGTTTTGTACTTTGCACTTTTTTCCGAGTCATCTCCCCGTGGAGTATCCTGAACATTTTAATACTTAGCCCGCCACGATGGCGTCTTAAGAAAGCTCCATTAGTGTGAAAAATCTAATCGACATCGTAGATCCCTTCTCGAGACATCGTAACAATATAGATACAATTTCCTAAAATCGTTAGCTGACAAGTATAATGGAACGAATCTTATTTGCTTTTAAGAATAGAATAAGAATCTCATTGTTTAAGCGAATTTTCTCTTAATAAAATTGCATTGCAATATATATTGATGAAATTTTCTGTATAATTATTTTTCTTTGTTGATTCGCGCGATTCATATCAATGTTAAAGTATGAAAATTTGTTATAAAAATTCTAATCGAAGACATATATTCTAAATTGGCACTATTGTGTCCTTTTTTATGGCCAACACGTGTAGAAATAATAAATTACTGTCATAATATCTAACAGTAGACACTCATGTAACCGCATATACGCATATACGCGTGTATTAAGATTTATATAGTCTAGTAAATTTATATTTCGCTTATATATGCCTTCATTCTTATCCATATTGTTCAGTAGCGACCGAGCTACGTGTACGATATGACTAGAAAAATATTTCCCGGCGTCATAATATTTACTGCCAGCCATCATTGTTTAGCGAGCCCGACATTGTGATTCATACGCGGATTTCGAGGACCGAGATGCAGGGTCAGCTCCACGCGCCCGTCATGGCTTAAATGAAATTAGCTCCCGCGCAAGCTGCCACCAAGAGCGCCAATTAAACGTTACCAATTCGAGCGCTCGACGAACTCGTACAGTCCGTCCGTCACTGGGTAGGAGTCGGTTTGATCGATGCGCCCAATTTTCCGGAACGGGTATCCCGGCGCAGCGCTATCCGCGTCGATATATTTACTCCCCTTTTTTTTTTACTCGCTCCCCTCGTCCTCTTCTGCTCCCTTCCTTCTTTTTTCATTACGCGTGTCTCCGCGATGCACACCGGGTGTCACCAGCGTCAATTCGCGCGAAAACTGCAGCTGAAAAATATCGCGCTTTGACCCGTCGATCGTAGACCCAGATGGGAATCGGGTCCGGGTTGGAATCGTTCTCGAGATTGCAGCCTTCAATTCGTGCGTGTCAAAAATTGAAGAGGGTTGGGCAAAAAGGGAGGAGGAGGACTGGAGATTTGAAAAGGGAGTACGACCGTCGTTGACAGGCAGACGGTTTCAGATTAAGACAACGGCGTGGCACGAACGGAAACGAGAGATATTTCACGGACTTTGCAGTGGCGTTGCTATTTCATGTTCCTTTTTCAGAGAACAGTTTTTTTTTTCATTTTTTTTTATTTTTGATTGTTCTCTGACATCGAGAGAGAGAGAGAGAGAGAGAGAGAGAGAGAGAGAGAGAGAGAGAGAGAGAGAGAGAGAGAAGAGAGAGAGAGAGAGAGAGAGAGAGAGAGAGAGAGAGAGAG